AGTGAAACCAAAAAGGAAATAATTATTGTTGTTATTAATTATTATTGCTGGACACTACCGTCCTTCTTTACTCAAAAATGTTTCCTATTTATTTGTTTTTTAATGTTTTATGAATTTATTCTGTTAGCTCGCCGTCTTATGTTAATTTGTACTTTCAGTCTAACTCCTGGGAAAGGGGCTCATCCGTACACTTCCACATCCGAGCCAAAGCCAGCATCCCAGGCAGCGTGATCGTCCCTCGGACACTAGAGGGCAGTATTGTTCCACTGACAGCAGCGCTGACGCAAACCTGACGGTCATTTCTCAGAGAAACTCACGACGGGAACAGTTTGCAATAAAAACTTCCACCTTATTGCAGAAATAACAGATTACAATTGAAAAAATACTTTTTACTGTCAGTGTCCAAAAAAAAAAATTTCTCTCATTGTGTTTACCTAATTAGGTTCCTAAGCAGGGAATTAGATTTTTATATCAATAATTAATAGTTGGTGCTTCAGCAGCTTCACCGTCTGATATAAAATCATCTGATCTTGTGTCTGCTCTAACTGGGAAGCTGAGCAGCTAGCAGCTGTATAGCCGAGTATTCCTAAATCTAGGAATACCCTTTTCAAAGCGGGACTGTGATTCCAAAGAGGAAAACAAAGTGCTGCCTTCATGTTCCAGCCAAACATGCATCAAAGTGCTTTCCACATCATTTTCACTCTTCAATTAAACCACTTCTCGAGTCTCATTTGGCCACTTTTTATTATACGACACACAAAAATATATTCAATTGCACTTCTCGAATTCTTTTATTTCACAGGATGGCGTGTAAATGTGGTTAATAGGAAGGACATCACGGTCAAAACATTCTTTGTTACTTGGAGACACAAAGTGAGGCGCGGCAAGATGGCGGAGTCTGTTCTTCTGATGACGTCACAGTTCAAACTGGAGTGAGCTGCTGTGGAAAAAATGGTTGACAGGTTGAGGTAAGCAGCGGCGGCGCCCCGGGAGCGTCACAGTTTGTGTTGCCTCCACAGGCGGCTCATGGGGATGGCGTTGAATCTGCCGCTGCGGCTGCTCCTCATGCCCAGGTACTGCCTCAGCAGCTGGTTCACCCGTTTCTGACTGTTCCATTTGCGGGCAGATTTCCGGACGCCTATGAACCCGCCGTAGCGCTTCTGTAGCGGCCTCATCGATGAGCCCAGCAGCTTCCTGTATGCGTGGCGCCCCCTCTGAAAGCCGCCAAAGCGTTTGGATAAGGCGACGCCCTCTGAACTCTCACCTTCATCGGCCTCTAGCTGGCCATCGCTTTCCACGTTCCTCTCCTCTCTGGGCTGCTGCTCTTCATCCGTCAGACTGAGATCCAGACTCTGCAGGCCCTCCCCCTCCTCAGAGGATCCCAGCAGCGATGAGTCATACTGGACGCTGCGCTGCTCGAAGGGCGTCTCATCCCGACCCCCCTCCTGGAAATGCTCCGCAGCTGTCGACTGCACCAGTTCACTGTCAGAGTTCAGGTCGACAGAGGTCAGCTCCAGCTCCTCTCCCGTTCTCTTGAAGAGAGCGCCTCCTCCAGAAAGTGTAGGATGGAGCGACAGCTTCACAGCGCGTTTGCAGACGTCCCACGTCAGCGAAGAGGAGATGCGACCCTCGCACTCCAACAAACACACCTGCAGAGGGAAGAGAAACAGTGACGTGTTGAGGCGATCCGAAGGCGTCTTTTTGACGTTTAACTGATGAAAACAACAAAGATCCCAAAGACTGAAGTCCCTGAATTACTTGCAGTCATTCAAGCGCTAATCAGGCTTAAGAAAGAAGGTGACAGTGAGGATGCTGAGAATATTGGGCTCAAGACTCTGGCAAATAATCGCAGGTGTTTAGTTCACACACCAGAGCAACGTGACGGTCGAACGTAACGGTGCTGACAGGCCTGAAGTATCTCCGCTTTCTACAATCACAAATTTTCTTTCCTTAGAACATAAATCATGAAAAGGACAAATAACGGAGCAAAGCAGACGCTCTTATTTCAAGTCAAACACACATAAACTGTCTGTCTGAACATGTGCGCGTTCCCACTGATCTCTTACTGGTTGTTTCCTCACATGGTGCATTTCCTACATTCGAGCGCTGCTTAGCAAACATAGCAGTGTGATATTTCTGACCTGATATTTAAAGAGTTTTAGCTAGCACTGCTGTTATAGTCGCTAGTTGTTAGCAGTAGTGGTAACTTGGATCATTGTATTTATTAAAGCTTAAAGCTACGGGCAAAGAATCCTACAAAGGATTGTAAGGTTAGCGCAGTGAAGTGTTTCCTGGGCTTTGTACTTCTTTAGAGAAATGCAGACAGCTTTTGCAAAAGATGTAAATGGCTGTGGTGACCACATATTTCAAGAAGAAGATGGTTTTGAATAAGAGAGGAAGGCGCACAAAGGTGCAGTCTGAAAGAGATAAACTGCAAGGTGGTGTAAGGGGTGGGGTAGCTGCGGTGCATTGGATGGCAGCCTGCAGCTTGATTCTGGACGAGAAGGGGAGGTGCACCTGGTGGTTGACTGAGGAAGTGCAGGGAAGAATTCAAAGGAAGAGGTAAGCAAAGAAGTGGGATAGTCCTCTGAGGCTAGACGTACGACAAAGACAGAGGTGGCAAAGGAAAAGGCTCAGCGAGTTTTATGTGAAGCTGGAGCCTAACGAGGGAAAAGCCAGAAAAATGTG